CTTTGGCAACATTTGATGCACACGCCATTCCGAAATCGCAGGAGGGTCGGTGTAATGCACTACCAAAACGCCCGTAACTAAGAAACAAATGCTAATTCGATGATGCCGGCTGGCACACTGATTCACTATGAATGTAGGCTGCACCCCCTAAAGGCAGAAGCTCGTACTACATCCGGTTCGCCCGATATTGACACAGTCTAGAAACTTTCCGATCGCACCTCGTATATGGGTGAATATGCGATTTAATTGTATTCCTGAACATTTTATTCACAGTTACCCCTTATTATTCCGTTTAGACCCACAAGAATTGCACCCTGGCTTAACATTCATCCTACCCGCGATCTCCGAATAACGTAGGCAAGGTGCGTAGGATATTTTGTACACGGATCAACAATCAGTGGCTTTATATATGATGGCCAGGTATTTTCCTACCGCACATGTTTTAGTGACGACGTTCTGTTATGTTCTGCCAGGCATCAACGCCCGATTCTCCAACGTATGTCGCCGCTGTGGTGGAGTACTCCCCAGTCACGGCTTCAGATGGCGACACTGCAGCTGACGTTGTAACCAAGAACTTAGCGAACTACGTTCTGCATATTCAACGAGCGGCAGAGAAGGTAGGCTATGCAACTGACAGTTAACCAAACCACGTCATGAACTGCCGTCGGGAAGCAAAACCTTGCTTGCATATACATATTTTATTATTTGACTGTAGTATTTCAGCTTAAGACAATTCTAAGCCCAGTGAAATTTTAAAGGCGACAAAATTCGCGCTGGCCACCTTGAAATCACGTAAAACACAAAAATTCTGTGATCAGTTTATTTGAGCATGCAGATAAACACATGTTGTGGGATTGATAATTGATTATTAAATTATTTAACTAGGCCTACGTATTTTATTCTGCTTAGTTATTAATTATAAATTGATTTGTAAATAATTAATTGAAAACTTATAGAATCTAGCAGTCGTGGTCAATTTTAAGGGGTTATTTAGGAGGATTAAGAACGGGGACCGGAAACCTGACTTAAGCCAGTCTGTCTCTGGATGTAATGAAAATCAGGGTTGCTAACTTCTACACAGGAATTTCCCAAATTTGACCCCAGAATAGGCTACGGCTACTTTTTTTACGCTTAACGTTCAACGCTGAAGACACTCGCGGCTAAGAACGTGTAATTAAATAAACTAAATAATATTTTCAACGATAACTTGTGCTTAATTCAATTTTCCCGCCAGTCACTCTTATCATGTGCTTTCCCATGCTCCAGATTCCCTTCTGACATAAAAGACATGAAGAAAGCTGATAGAGAAACTCATAAGGTTCTATAAGCCTTTCGTATCGAAAAAGTGAAGTCTTAATCTGAGATTTAAGAATCAGAATCACTTTGACACTTACTAAAATGGAGTTCTGCGAAAGACCCCTTGTCAACCAAAGGAAATTGACAGGACTTGGTTGTCAGGTGGGCCGATCAGATGTCATAAGTTCGTGTCATGTTTCTGGAAGTCCGTCATCTTGATAGCCCGTTCTGACGGAACTCAACTCTTTGACTTCCGAATGCAGGTCATAGTCACTGCCGTAAAGATAGATCTTACTACATCTAATGAGTCCTTATGTATAGGTTGGTAATCGCTGAGCTAGTCACGAAATTTCTTGTGTTCCGTAAAGCCCAGTGTTCATCGCCGTGTTCACAAAACTCCGACACTGTTCCTTCTCCAATGTCAGTGAAGTTTCGACCGTACGTACTCTCATACCATACATTTTATAATATATTTTTGTACAATCCGCACATTTAGATTTCCCAAGTCGCCTTTTCCATTTAGGATTTCCGACTAAAATTTTGTATGGTGTTTTTATTCTTCCCGTTCGTCCTACACTTCACGTTCATCTCATCCTCTTTGATTCATCAAGAATATGGACGTGGACACTTAATGGATTTACGGAGGGATTTATAAAATGCAGATGGCGCTATGCGGAGAGTTAGAAAATGCTGCTGAGGTTATAACAAGATTTCAGGTTGTGGAACTAATTTAAATTGGAAAAAGTGGTTGAATTTTTGCGGAAACACTTGTAGGAAAAAAAATTCAATTTTAGCAATAAATTATTCCTGAGACACACAGAAAAATACCTGCTTCAAGTCAAGGAGGGACGGAAGAATCCCTTACCTTAGAAGGAAATAACGCGAGAAGGAAACTGTAATGAAGATGTTAAAACAGAGCAAGGGATTGATCTCGACTTGTGTATGCAGTCTCTTAATTTCAGACATTAGTGCCTGAATGTGCCTTAGATGGGAAAAGAAACTTAAGCATGAAATAATAATGACGGTGTGTGTATTTGTAAATGATAATCGATAAATACGTGGGAAAGGCCATCTGTACAGAATGATTAATTAAAATCAGCTCATAACAACATTCAGTTTTATTTTTCGACATTATAAGCCTGTGTTCGGAATTTCAGTCAAGTTGGACGAGAAATCTGTTCAGCTAACATAATTCATATGACGTGCTCTTACATGGACTTGGTTAAACTTGAGTGAGTGGTAGAAGGCTAATTATACCCGTAAAACGTATTTTAAATTATCAAGACTTAACGTCTAGGCAAAAATATGTCGTTAATTCAACAATTAAAGCTTCCTGTAGTTTAATTGGAATGATAGCGACTAGTGAGTAAAATTATAAAGTACGTAAAAAGACGAATAATAGGCAGACTGAATTAAGTCGATGTAAATATGAAATATTTGGTGAAATACCAGAATTAATATTTAGATAGATAGCCTATTTGTATCATGTCCCGCAGTCTATTTCAGTTACACGAACATACAACGATTCAAATAAATTATTATTAGAAGTGTAATTGTATAATATTTATCCATATATGACTGATTTTATGGTACAAACTTTAAGATATAATCAACAAAAATTAAAATTGTTTTAATTGCAAAGCCGAAAATTACTGAGAAAAACCTGACCCGATGTTGTCCACCACAAATCTGACATGGACCGAACTGGAAGTAAACCAGGCCCTCCGCGGTTAGAAGCCGGCGGATAACTAACCGCCTGAGCTATGGCATATCCGCCCTTGCTATCCGTTCTTATAAATAGATAGGAATTCTTTTATGTTGAGTTTGAATGCTTTTGAAGATGGTTGAGTGTTGATTCATTTTTGAACTGTTATTACAAAGACATTCATGTATTCAGTAGCAAATTGCCTTTATGTATAAATGCCCTATTTTTATAATATATTTGTTGTTACCATTCTGTATTTATTATCCTGTTCTTGTGCTGTATTAGCCATGTGTGTTTATGTCTGGTGAGTAAGAGGTCCGGAAGGAAGGGTGGTACTCTTCAGTTAACAAAGGACAATCGGTAAAAGTTTGGACACGGCCTTGAACGACGCGCACATAACACATTTTCAGTTTCAGAGGACTCAAGGTCACGCGTTTCATTACAACCAGAACTACTTCAGTGGTGCAAAATGTGCGTTGTCTATCTATAGACGTCACAAATAGACAACAATATTGCAGTGTTGTAAAACTGATCACCCGGAGTAGGAAATTATTTAATATATTTTAATAAAATCAAAATACGACCGCCACGGTGGTCTAGCGGTCAGAACGCTATCCTTGTTATCCTGGGGTCTCGGGTTCGATTCCCGGCGGTGCCGGAATTTATAACTTGTGTTGGGCAAGGCCTTGGTCTAGGCAACACGGAGTTTTCCTCCGTGGCATCCCACCAATTACTCCATTCACACACAGACGAAGGCAATGGCAAACCACTTCTGGATCATCTGCCAAGAACGTATATGAACAGGTCCCAGTCCGAGAAAAGGATGGAAGGATCCTGTTCATATGGACCTGTCGTCAGACAGAACACTAAATAAAATATAAATCTTGTGCTGGTACTGTAATTGGCCTTCTGGATGTTGATGCACCACACTGAAAATAAACAATTGAATTGAATTATAATATCCCTAAACCCAAAATATTCAACGAGACTCGAAATCGGGACATATTCGGGGTTTGTGATCTGAGTTCCTATAATCTCCTCCACAAATAAAATTGTGGTAAGCGCCGTTCTCCTGTCGTGCGTATTTTCCGAACTATAATAGCGATCGTCACCGGGACTCGGAACTCAGTAAAATGTTTCGGAGTTTTGGCCAACTTTGTCGTCTCCTTGGTCTCAAGTATGCCAAGTTTGGTGCAAATCGATGTATCCGTTCTCGAAATATAAGCGAACAAACACGCAGTTTCAATTTTATGTGTAAGACGACGGAAGTGACTGTGATTATTCTTTGGTTTGATTTCTAAAAAAGATTGCACGTAGGTTAGTATTTTAATCCTAATTGTTTTTAGTATGTTTGTTAGGTATAACTGAATAAACAGTAAATATTAATATGATTCATGTGTATGCATAACATTCCTCAAGATTTAAACATATGAATGGTATTAGTACACTGCAAAAAAGAAATTGTGATAGTAAATGAATTTGGTCTTTTTTACGTAAGTGTGTTATACAAATTTATATTGGCAGGATTATGTAGAAAAGATTTATCTTACTTTAAGATTAATATCAACGACAAAGAAAGAAGATAATGATCCATCAGACATGCAAAGAAACTAACAGTGGAGCTGGGAAGTCTGCACACATCTTTCCACTCTTGTTAATATCTGCTTTTATGAGAGCTTCCGTAATAGATATTACATAACCATAGTCCTCGAGGAGGGAATTTTCTATTGCATAAAATTATATTTTACAGTACTTATAACTTGTCTTTTTCACGTTTTATATTCATGTAAGTTCTAAATGGACTTTTGTACAATTTCGTAATGGTTTGTCCTACAAAAACTTTTACTGCAGTATTATGAGAATTATTAATTTATTATCCGCGATAAAATTTTGAAATCTTATTACACACGTCGAATAATTTCCGAGTTACAAGAGAATGCGATGCAGATTAAAATCTTAGCATCAAAGAAGAATTCTAGCGCCAGTTTGTCACTAAAATGGAGACTGTTATGCGTTTCCCGTTTATAACAAAATTCACTTTTATCCGCACTTAACAAAATGCAACAAAAACATTGTTTACTCCTCAAAATACAATTTCTTTTGTGGTTGTGTCAGCCACTGAGTGAATGAGCTGAGAGGGTGACAAATTCGTTAGAAAACCTGCAAAGTAAAGAGAGAGATATAAAAGTTCGAAATTACACGCTCTGGCTTTATCTCCTGATTATAAATTAATACCTTAGATTGCTGTTATCAGTCAGTGTCCATATTCATCCATTATACGAGTGATTATGTCTGTATCATCTGTGTTATTTTGCAAAAAAATTAAAATCAGATTAGATTTATAATGAGATCGGACAGTTGAGAACATCAACAGCGTACTTGAAAAACGTGTGCCTCTAATCTGTACTTACTTTACAATATTATAACGCATACAGAAATGTCGATAAAATATTAACCTCTTAAAGGAAAAGTAATCGTGAATTTTCCCATAAACGATTACACTCCATCTCTTAGAAGGAATCAGGCCTGCAGGACAGTGAGCGTATAATGAATGAAACACCTTGGAAATGTTAAAAGCACGTCTTGGTGGTTACTTATGACGTGTTATGTTACTTATTTCGAATCTTTCTTGCTGCAAACGTTGTTCTATCGTGAAGTGGGCGTCCCACGTGTTGAACACTTTCGTATTTATACCATCATAGAAATAATTATCGTTTTTTAACGACGCTTACTTCGAATATGAGGCTGCCTTCTGGGTTGTTGCACCGTTTGGTCTGTTAGAACTTTACCGACGTTTCAGAGGTACTTGCTGCCTCAATTATTAGGGCCATCGCCAGTGATATTTCAGGTGACAAATATTTGTCACCTGAAATCTCACTGCCCTTGTTTAAACCACGAAAAAAGCATTGACTGAAAGTATGTTAATGAATGGTCAATTTGAAAGGATATAGAAGTCAGTGCTCTTGTCCTATTTTAAAATAGTCTAAAACTTTTGCTTTGAAAGATTTAGTAAAATAGTAAAAATATCAGTCATGATATCCGGCCGTTAGAATGATAGACCCGAGATCTATGAAATACGAAGTGGGAATATTACCACTCCGTAGACATCGCAGGCGAAAGTGTGCTGTGAAAAGTTGTGATTGGGTTGCTTGCTTTAGGGAGCTGACATCATCGTGTTTCCGGAGTGCGGTTTGGTTACCTTTGCCGGTCATGGCAGCTTCTCAACTCACCTGCCGAATCCTGAAGATCGGGTGAACCCTTGTACGGATGATTCCAGCGGAGTGGAGGAGGTAAATTTTTAATTAGTTTTTAAAACCGTCAAGGTCTGTTAGAAGCAGACATTCGTGGGAAAAAGTTTATAATGTAACTTATAAGAAAACAGAAGTTTAACTGGCTTTTGAACCTTTTGCCAGTAATAGATAGGCAGTATGTGAACAGTGCCTTATGCCTTCTGTGACGCTGTCCACACATATATATATATATCCCACCCTCTCTCACTCTCACACACACGCATATAATATTTGGCCAACACCTTCTCTCCCTTCTCCTACCAAATCCCTTAGATTTTTTCCTCTACTGAGGTATTCAAACCCAAATCTTTAAATTATATCTCATTTTTGTCAAACGGTCATGTCCAAACTGAACACAGCGAAATGACAATAATATCAATTCCTTAGATGCTAGTTAGCAAATTAATGTAGAAATGAACACAAAGGAAATCAAGTATATGCCACACCCAGTCATCAGCTGTGAACTAGTTAGTGCGTGTTTATGTGCTTGTTTCGTTATAAAATTAGTTATGTTTTGTTTTGTTTGTCTTTCACTTTGTGTTCTTGAAATGTCAAGGATCTCTGCCACAAAAGAGATACGTTAAAAAGGTACACGACTCAGGAACTATGTTGTGATGCTGTATCAGTAATTGTTTGCTGTACTTAATTTAAAGAGTCATATCAATGTACCTTTAACGACGTTGAGTTATGTGGGATTATTATTCGCATAGTTGAGTAACACCCGTACCAGTTTCAACAACAATAACAACAACAACAAATACCCATTTTCGACTACGTCTACATTAAGAGTGAGCGTGATTACATGCGATGTCTGTACGTCCCAAGAAATTTGCAACACCTGTCAGTTTGAAGGGTAGTAAATCCGAATACAGACGTTTCCGTATTTCTGTGTTGTCATACAATGTACCCTCTAATTTATGAAGAAAAATATTGAATCACTCTGTATAGGGGACATCTGATAATTCTTATTTATTATACACAACAAAACAATACATAAAGTTAGTAGGAATTTAAGTACACAAACGCTTTCTTTTCGATTTACAGCACGGCACTCACTCCATGCAGTGATCGTATCAACTGATAAGACTTGTTTCCAACTTCGTTAGTTTGTTGTTACGAAGCAAGGCCTGTGTACGTTATGTGACCTTCAGACTTGTTCCTATGCCACTGGGAGCGCTAGTAGCACGACTGATGCAGTTACACAAGACACGGATATTAACTGAAAACCCTAACACATGCTGTCAAAGGAAAACTGGTGACGTAAGGGGTAGGCGTAGTGGGCGATGACCCCGTGCCTCGAGGTTGTAGTGGCTACGCATGCCTCACATATGTACTTGGATCAAAATTGACTTTTTTTCCTTACGTGTTTGCCGTATACATGTCCTTTTATCTGATACCAGCAACAGTGTAGAAGGAACTGAGAAAGTTTCCGATAAAAGCCTGCAGAGGGAAAACGACAATTTTTTAAATGTCGTCCATAAAGTACTGTTGTTGACGGCAGATTGATTGTGTACTTTTCGGTCATATTTTCACTTATTCTCTTAATGTTTCTGAGAAACTGACAAATGTTGACGGCTAGTATCGATTTTTATCAACAACGACGTACTTCTGTATGTTTAACCAGTTGTGTTATTTGGATTTGTACGTTCGTATTTTGCGTATTAGATAGTCAGTCGCTTTTGAGTTGTGAAAGCAGAAAAGTTGTTTAGTAGACAGGCCGTGAATTTTTTTTCGTGCAATTTTGGGTCAGGATCGTAATTGAGGAAGAAAATTTTAATCGGGTACATTAAAAACAAAAGCTGAGTTAAAGCGAAAAGATTATGTGGGTCAATTGTAACATTTTTGAAAAGTAATGATGCAATCGTAATTAACAAACATTCAGGTAAAACCAAAATTGGAGATCTGGTAGAAGAATTGCATAAATCAAGTGAGTTAATTCTAGATGGGTAGTTTTCAGATCGTTAAATTACAATAATTTAAATAATTAAAAATCCATTTTCTAAAGAGGCCTTGTTAATCAATTTTGCTCAGGGTCTCTTAGCCGCCACTGCTGAGGAACTTGTCTTCATGTCAGATAAGATTTACACTCGCCTTGTTTTCCTCCAACTGGAACTACCGAAGATGATAACTTCTGTAGAAATGGCCATTGCACTGAGCAATTTTCCGGGCTGGAATCTCGAAAAGGAAGGGTTTGTGGACCCATGTTCACGTGAACATTAGGTGTTATTCTACGCAGAACTCACATCCAGATCTGATTATTCCTTTCAGACACATCCTCACGAGGTTACTCCATTGGGTTTATATCTAACTAATTATTTCAGGTCGTCCGCACGCTGTCGTGTGAGGCTCGAAACCGAAGCATCTATGTTGTGGTGAATATTCCCGAGATGGTACCATGTCCCAGTGATACCAATTGTTCGTCCTCAGATGTTCTCCTTTACAATAGTAACGTTGTATTTGACCGAGACGGAACCGTGGTGGCGAGGTGAGGTTCTTAATATTGTGTCTACAAGAATAATGTTGCCGTAAATTAATAAATAAGAATAGTTATCAATTTATAAGTTGCAAAAAAATCAACACAATTTTAATAGAAATGAAAACATGTTTCTCTCTTTTGAATTGTAATGCCGAAATTATTTTGGTCTGTGCATGAAAATGTTGATAGTAGAATATCATAAATGTACAAGATGGAATCCGCTTGATCTGTGTAGAAATGTGACTTGTTCCTACGTTGTATTCGTGAGGTTGTAAATTCAGTTCACTGCCTGAACTCTGTATGTGATCTTCGTCAGTATCCTCAGGAAAATGCTGTTATAGTATCTCAAAATCTTCCGTCCACGTCCTTCCCAATCCACCGTTCATATTCGTCTTCCGGTCTGACGTGTATGACCTGTCCAGCAAAAGACAAAAAAAATATAAAATTAGCCCTGTCTTAAGCACCATGCTACACCGACTTCATATGACTACAATTTTATGAGCCAAAAGTATGTCATTACTTACCATGCCTGGCAGTTATCCATAAAATTTGACAGCATCGGCATTTGAAATAATGTCGTTAAAAATACAATAATCAACAAACCATTAACTTCTTAGTCGAAAGTCTTTAGGAAAGTGTGTCTTTACACTTATGTATATCCTTGGACACATTCTTTTGTCTTTGTTAATTTCACTACGTTTCGGAAGCTTTCTTTGCGTCCGTCACCAGGTGAAAATATGAGATTTGATCTGTTATTTCCACAGGATAAAGTTAATTCGGGGATTGAGATTAGCTTCATCGAATCCAACTGATTAGGTTTCATAATTTCAGCTGATGGCGGAAGCTGAGCCAACTTCAAACATCGCGTTACTAACAAACAGACGATAGAAACTGTCCAAGAATTCACGTTGCAACTTTTTTCTTACGACCAGTATAAAGTAGAGAACTGACTCCAAGAAGCAGGTTATGGCACAGCTGGTCAGAACGTTCTCTGCCTTTTTCGATACCGGATGATTCATTGGAGCATCCACCGGAGCTCACCACAATCCTATACAATTCAAAACCGATTCACAACCTCACACTCCGTTTATTCAAGATTAGTTTTAATATTAAATTCCTCTAAATATGAAGCCTTTAATTTCTTTTAAATACAGCATTTCAGACATTTCCAAAAGAAATTACTTTTTCTGTGCATTTTAGATACCGAAAGTTCAATTTGTTCGGTGAACCTGGCTTCAGTGCGACTTTAGAACCTGAGTTGTCCGTCTTCGACACGGACTTTGGAGTGAAATTTGGAACGTTCACTTGCTTCGACATTATGTTTGAAAAACCAGCAGTCTCTCTGGTCAGAGCCCTGGGAGTCACTGACGTCGTGTTTCCAACTGCGTGGTTCTCCCAACTGCCCTTCCATTCAGGTAAGTTGAGGGCAAATTTTCTTATGGCGTGGTTTGTCTGTTTCTGTACCCGAAAGTTGGCAATTCGCCACCAACAAGACTGTGATATATTTCACTGCATACAATACCGCAAATAACTAGTACGATCGTATTAATTGAATCCGGATGCAAATTAGTCAATAAATTTAAACATACAAAATACAGATAGCTGAGAGAAATTAAATAGCGTTTGAGGTTCTCACCATATCGAACATGAAATTGGCTTTGTAGTCTGATAGAAGTTTACCAACATTTTATAAGCGAGTTATTTATCGTCTACAAGACAAAATGGCGCTACAACCCAGAAGACAACTTTCGAGTTACGTAATAGGTGTGAATTTCTTGAAAACTGCGCGGTTATTACGTCTAAAAAAGGACTGTGCTCCAGGTTTTTGCGGATGTGAGACTTCTGGGTTGTTGCGCCATGCAGTCTGGTTGAAATTTACCGATGTTATCAGTGCAATCGCCATGATGGAGACGGTAATCACGTCCGAAATGTCCGTAAATTTCTACCAGACTACACGGTGCAACGTCCCAGAAGACAGATATCTTCAACTTAAATGAAGCCCTTTGACAGTGCGAAAAGAATGTTTAATGGAACTTTATTTCTTTTCTACAGCAAAGGAAATTTGAGCTAGTTCTGCGTAATCATATATTATATTAATTTTATTACATAAGAGATATTAACATTAATAATATATATATTTGATGCTGCGCTTAAATATTTGTACAGTAAACCGATAAAACCAAGATTAAGTTAACCTGACAATTCAATTTAGACTCCCAATACCAAACGACGGACAGATGCAAGCACGCCATTAAATATAAGTTATTACTCTTCATACAAATAATCGATAATATCTTGCGTACGTTTGTCCTTGACAGCTGTTCAGGTGCAGTCATCATGGGCTTCTAGTATGGACGTCAACTTCCTTGCTTCTGGGTACAACAACCCTCGAGGGGGTAGTTCAGGAAGCGGTATCTACGCCGGGAAAGAAGGGCCCATCGTGGCGGTAATGCCCACTGTTCCTAGTACCCAATTACTATTGGCTGTTGTGCCGAAGAAATCATTTCAACGCACAAAACATGTTTCAAGCAATGTTTCAAATGTTTGCGAGCTTATTACAGCGACGCCTTATCGAAATGCTTTTCCTGAGAGACTTGACGGTAATGACTCTGGAATTACGATGTTGAGCGATTATCTGGAGCCTTATGAAACTCTACTCTTGACAGAGAATGAGTTCTTCAGTAAACACACTGTGTGCCACAATGAGTTGTGTTGCGATTTTGAACTCGTAATGCACAGGAGCCAGCAGATTATGAATTCTTCTTACAAAGATAATGTTTATCGATTAGCGGTTTTTGATGGAATCCGTTCCTACACGTATGTAACAGCGGGTGTCCAAATTTGTGCTGTCATATCATGCATTAACGATAGTCTGTCTTCATGTGTTAAAGACTTGAAATTGTCAAAGCAAGAAATGTTAAATACGGTTTTCGACTACGTTCACATATCTGGCAATTTTCGCCAGAGTAACTCTATCCATCTGCCGATCACACTCGTCCGCGGTTACGATGTGTTATCTTCAGACAAATTCCAGTTCACGAGAGAGGAGATGCCTGAGAGAAATGAAATAAAAGTCGATATGAAAACATCAAGACAAAATTCGAACCTTTTAACTTTTGCAATATTTGGACGCGATTTCCAAAAAGATGGCGGACTACTCACACTCCCTTCCAGGTGTCATCGGACAAGTGCAGCGACAGTGACCGTTCTTATAACCGTCGCTGTAATTCTCTGTCTTCATACTTATTTCAAATTTCCATTTTCCTTCCTACATTAAAGCCTTACTGTCTAGCCACAACAATTCTACGAGTGGAAAGGACACCAATTAAAATTCAGCTGATAAACATTTTTGTTATGTCTTCATCCCTTATAAGAGATCTTCCTTTCCATTAACTCTTTAGTCGAAAGTCGTGATCGAGTGGTTAGCACTCCTGCTTCGTATTAAGAAGGTCCCCTACAGGATAGTACTTTGAATTAGGCCACGACCGTTTCCTTTAACTCATTATTCACTATTACTCGACGCTATTAAAAGACGTCGTTAGATAAATTATAAATAAATATTTAACACTATCATAAACTTGCCTTCGGTACAAGTGGCACTAAAACTTGTGTAGTTGTACCAAAACATGTGAAATGAAAGAGAAAACTTCCATCGGGATATTAGTGAGAACTTTAACACTCACACAGTCGTAAAGAATATCTTATTATTTAATATCTGCATTACAGGACGTCGTAATACAGCATAGATTTGACGAACTATATTTATGTATTATTTAGTAACAAAATAAGAGAAAAGTATCATTAATATGAACGAAAAGGGCTGTGGAACAGAAAGGATTCGATCTTGTATTCTGGAGTCAAACGGTTTGATTTCCTTCCAAGGAAATGTCGAAATAATGCCATGAAATAGTTCCGATCGTTTCGCTCCAAAGTTTTAAGTGCTCACAATTCGATATCCGTATGGCATAACTTCTGCAGCTGAAATAGCGCCTTTAAAATGACTAAGCCAATAACATAGCTTCAAATTCTACGCAAATTATTTTTTTTACGGGTTTGGAACGTGGATCTCTTATTTTGTAGGAAAAACACAAATTACAAGTGCTTGGGACACAGACATAAGAAGGATGATGTAGCTGGACAATTTATAATAGGAAAGATAAACTTCGTGACTTACAAGGTCATATTATGTACCCTATTATTTATGACAGCGAGGTCCAGGTTTGAGGCTAGTAAACCAGAGTAAAAGCCAAATAAATTTATGTTCTCCCACTGGTCACTGGGAGACTGAACTAGAACCAACGTTATTTTGATTAAAAGTCATTTAGACACTGGATAAAGCCTAGAAGCATAATTACGTATATTGCAATATGGGGTAATCTTTCATGTTTGCTTGTAACGTAACAAATCACTATAAAATAACAGCGTATTTTGAAGTGTTCTGTTGGAGATTCATAATTTATACTTATCTACACATATTATTACTGGGGATACTGGGAACGACCCGTTCTTCAAGTGCCTGAGCATCTGCGGGTCCCAACATTTTCGTTGGCTTGATCTATAGACATTTGGTAGGACTCCTTGGACGATGGATCGGCCCGTCGCAAGGCCTCTGCCTGTACACAGGACAGCACAGGGGAGAAAACCGCGGACACACATGCATGGCTAGAGTGGGATTCGAACCCACGGTCCCAGCGACCAAGCGGCACAAGGCCCACGCCTTAGACCGCGCCGCCACTGCAGACCCCTCAATATTGTTAGGACGATGAAATCAAGGACGATGGGTTGGCAGGGTGGGGATGGAATTGCAAACAAAAGTTTTGTGTAAAAATCTAATAATAAGAGACCACTTGACATGTCTGGACGTAGATGGGCCGAAAATATAAAAAATGGCTCTTAAAGGAGTAGAAGTGAATTCACGTGAATAATTTTCGGGACTAGCATATGTACATAATCTTAAGGTTTCGTAAAACGCGTGACATTTCTTGGTAAAGTGATTGACTAACAAATTCACGAGTATGTGCTCACAATGGGGTGAAAGACTTCTGCATGACATAGTTGTCAGCTTCACGCTCCGGCCGATTTTCTCCTCCAGAAAGTCACAAGTCTGGAAGGACCTCCGTGGCGTCACTGAATGAGATTCCCAGTATTCCGATCCCGTTTAAGAATAGAACGGCGGTAATCTCTAAAGGTGGGAGAACAAATAGATATCAATTTCCGCGCTTGAATTTCGTATAGGTGGGTTGCTTCTGTCTTATATTTCAACTGATAAAAAAATCTTTATAAATTTCTACAGGTTTATTTATATACCATTCTCTTATTTTAATACTATTTCAGACTCGTAAAATATTCTATCTCTCTGCTTAGAACTTATCTCAGTGTTATTTAATCATGCATAAAATACTGTATCTTTGTAAAGGAAAAATGTTACGTGGTTAGACACTAAACGTTATAGATTTTCAGATATTTTTGTTGTCAAAAATTTTGTAGGTCACAAGCGAAATGGATCTAAACTGAAATCACTCGTGTTACAACTTGTCTTTATATAGGAAGCCTTCGTGGTCTTTCGGCGAAGCCCTTTGTTATCTGTCGCTGAACAAAAGCGACTCTGAAACCGTCCCCCAAAGGCAGTGACTTTATTATTCTACTAACAACATAAAGCAGGTTCAGATCAAAGAAATTCGATACGGTACTATTACGTGATTGAAAACAAAAAAAACGGACTGGTGGCAGTTTATTACGCGGTGGCCAGGATTGTACTTATCAATGTCAGCTACTTTACGCTGCTGCTACTCTACGCCTTCATTTTCTAATACGGTGAAGTGTTTCACGTGGTTGTTTGGTGTCTATGAAAATGTCTATATTTCTAAAAATGTCCCGCAGAATATCACCTATAGAATTTTAGAGACAAGCAAGAGATTTTATGTTTAATTCTTTTATACTGCAGGCGGTGTTGTGAATTTGCATGAACGCAATTTTAATGCATCCTGTGATGGTCTAAAGACTGTAACTTCCAAAGTAAAGATTTGCCAAAATGTCTCTTTTCGACATGTCCCCGCGTTGCTGTCTGAATAGCGTAATATAACACAAAAATATTTAACACAAACAATACGACATGAAGACAAATTTTGTAACGTTTCGTGTACGAATGAAGATTAACGTCAAATATTAAACAAATTTATAGTGACGAAGGAAGCAATTATAATTTTTAAATACTTCGACTATATTTGCGTCTCTAGTAACTCCGGTACGGTGAGGGTATTAACCCTCTGAAGTAGAAATTCACGGAAGCAGAATTTAAAAATCACTTATTAAGTAAACGAAAACACAACACATCTCAATTACAAAAATAGGTCAGTTAAAGCTGTTTAAGGAAATAATCTCTGTTTACTCTAAGAATGAGACGAAACCCACGAACACGGTTTGTGGTCAAACGAAGCAGATGGTACGCATAGCAGCCACAGGGTTTCAAAGGGTTAAACGCAGACTTGGACAGTGGATCGGGAGTCAGTAGGAAGTTTCCATACGTAATATTGCTTCATATCTCCATAATTATACGAACATATGCACGTGCTGAAATATTAGTTGATATTTTCTTTATCATCGTTTTGGTGATAAGTGGTATTGAGACACAATGATATCGACTTCAATGTTTTATGTTACATTTGCGGGACTTTATATTTAGGTCCTTTTCATGTCTTTATAGTCTGAGGCTTAGTTAACCTATTAAATTCCCGGTTTTAAGGAGTTACAGAGGAAATATTCCATTGTATCTCCAAATACACAAACTTATTTTATTTCGCAGGATTATAAAGTCTCAGTTGTTCGTCCAGAATAGTGGCAGATTTTTTTCGTATATTCTCTGTGCCAAGATGCGCTATATGGATACTAGATTACATGTTATGTTCAAATTTACATAACACATTTCAGATATTTTTCAGACCTTTTTTTTTAAATGTTTGTGGGATTAGATATCTCGGTTGTGTTCTAAATGAAGGTATAGTGTACAACAAAGTACAATTATGGCCGGACTATCGAGATGACAAATCACACACAGTCGCATGGCAACATTCCAAATTCTCTGTACGTCTCCCCAAACTGCATTATGGGCGTGGCAGCCAAAGATTTCCTTCCAATTTGATGCTTCTGATGTACACGTACCACGTAGTAAATTCTGAGAGCTTAGGTTTATATTACGGCATTTAGAATCCAGTGGATTGTATAAAATATACATCAAGTCGTCCATTAAATGGAGAATTTGCGAGGGAAAATCAAGTTGTTGATGGTTAGACTGTCAGATCCCTTTGGCTGATGTAATAGTTTACTAAGACCTGAGGATCTTCGTTACGAAGGGAGAAATAAGCAGCAAATAGATAAAGCGGGAAAGAAAACAGAAAGAAAACGTGGTACACTATAGGAGACTACGAGAAATTTCTTTTTACATTTGGGGTTGCTCTCTAAACGTAATAATTTAAAACACAAACAATTACTAATGTTAAAAACTTGTAATAATAAATATATCAGGTTACCCCGTAATCGATATCACAGAAAATCGATGCTGGTGAGATTTATCGGAATATATCAAAACGCTAAAATTATAAGTTAATTTGGGCCCTCAAATGAAATGAACTTAGAGTTAACGAAACTCGCAAATGACATAACATATTTAGAATTTAAAAATGTTGTGTACGAAAATTTGTTTACAAAACTAAAGTAAACATGTGTAATTAATTAGGATAAGAAAAATGTCCCTCACTTAACCCAAGTTAAAATTGCACGAGAATCGTATTATAGGCCTGCCATATCCTATTCACCGAAATTGGTCTGGCAAACAGACAATATTGGCGGACATATCAAATCTGATAGAATATTTCCAATATTTATTTTCTGGAAGGGCACCGAGAAGTTTTGTAAATTTATATTTATTATAGTTTTAGCATAAAATTTCTGCTATAAAATTTCTGTAATTTAATTGTTACAGGCTACATTTACATCAGTTGCATAAAAATGGTCTCCCAACAAACATAATTATTAAATATACTGATTTTCCGGTAAACGTTTCGTATTTATATCAAACGCTTCATCATGGCTTACATTTTTCGTTTTGTACACGACAATAAAAAAAAACGATAACAGTGAACGAAATTCAGTAGGTGCTGCTGAACGTTCGACTGAAATTTCTGTTTTCATTGCATGAATTATTTACAACAATTAAACAAAGACGCTGTTATGGCGGAAGCAAAGAGAGTAGAATGATTTCTTTTCTTTAGCGAGTACTGCATTTCAGACATTTGTCTATGTCAGCTGTTTCTCTGTCCATACAAAGATTTCTGTATGGGAATAGTGAAGTCTGTGTGAAGCTGTTTCTATATCAGAATACATTATGGATTAAAAAGTAAGAGCTGTCAGAAATGTCTAGTCAACAAATCAACTCTTATGATTTTCACAAAGCAGAAATTCCTCGTGAGTAAGACAGTTCATATTAAACATTTTGATATTAAACTATTTAGTCTGCTATATATTATTTATTCATACGACCTGGGCATAAAAGATGTTATTGGATGTTAATATTTAAAATATATTTTTTTATAAAACAGTAGTACAATGAGAAAATAATATCGTATATAACACGAGCAGTTTTAGGGCAGAGAAATAGAAATTATTTTGTGATACTCAAAAACATTACATTTGATCTTTTCCCATACCAGAATGTGTGTTTGTTCCAATCCTGTCCTGGGGTCTTCCTAAACTTTGCTTTCAATTTCAGTATTTGTTGTATATATGTTTAATCTTTCATTCTTTCTGCGTACTTAATTTGTCTGTCTTATCCGATTTTTACATATTTTGAGGTACATTATTAGGTGAAATGTAATTTTGCAATGTTGATACTCACTTAAACAAGTACAACTGTAGCTTCCTTTTAAACCTATGAAGAAAGTATAACACTGTAAGTAAGATAAACTGAGTGAAGAACAGAATAAGATGTTAGCTAAACACTTGAAAGATTTTCGTGGTTTGCATGAACGTGCGTAAATATTTCAGGTGCTTACATTGGATGATGTTAAAAATTCTGTGTAATAAAAACTTACTTTAATTTATTTTATGGTTTTAAAGGTGGTGTAAATAATATACAATAATTAAATTATTGAGACCAAAACGCACGAAACATTCGTGGCTAAATTAGGAATTGTGAGATGGGTGGGTCATGTCATGGTGTTAACTAAATGTTCAAATTTTAATTTAGAGATGTAAAGGGTACAGATCCTATAAAGAATTAAACGTAGATGCAGGAAAGACTGAAATCATCTAGCTCAAGATAATTTTCAATGTCGGGATTTTGTTAATAGTTACTGGACTTCGATACGTACGAAAGTAATTCATTTAAAATCAGCGTGATCACCAACTAACCTCCCGCAAACAATTAGAAACACCCCATGTTTTGTTACTAGAGTAGCCGTCACGAAATTGTTCATTTGAAGGCCACGGAAGATTTTACTCTGTCCTCCATTACCGCTCTGCCATAAGTAGGAAATGCAGTGTTGCCAGCTTTCATACGCCGCGACTTCTGAGCTGTCTTTGTTGATCTTGGTCTCACTGTTTGTTGAAAAGTTGTTCGATTCTGCGGTTGCCTTGAAGCAAGCAAATTCGTCACGGTTACTGAAATGGTACTAATGAGAACTTTCTGCGTTCTTTGGAGTTGTTTAACAAAAATGCGATGACAATTTCTTTTAAATTTGTCTTTACAATAGACATGACGTCAAAACTGTAGTAACCCTGCGTGTTTTTCCCCCTTTTTCCCTTTGCGGAATTGGGCCACTGGTGGGCTCCATTGTCCAGCCCCCAGATGATACACTACTGAATATGCAACAACGGTGGATGGTATTGGCAGGGGAAAATCGAAGGTCTTGAATAAAAACGTGTTTCAGAGCCACTTTGTCCACCACAAATCCTACATGGACTGCTTTAGGAATTAATCCGGTAACCCTGTGTTACTTCTGCTTGCATGTCTCCATTTTCGCTCTGTGTTGTGGAAATACAGTTCGAGAGCAATGCTATCGGAACGTATGATAAAGGAAAGGAGGCTAAGGGGGACGCGGCATTATATTTAGAGGATCAAGAACGAGATTTCGTCTATTGCACACGTCTATTATCAAGACATATGTATATAAGTTTATACCCAAGTACGCACAATGCCATGTCTTTCCTTTCCCCTCCCCGGCCAAGACACAGCAATCTCATCCTTCACCCCTCCACGACTCGCACCACACGGCCACAACCTTTCCTTCCCCCACCCCCTACATCAAATGTAAGAGCAATCGTACCACCTGTGAAAGTTGAGTTTTGAAACAGTTGAATGCTGCTAAACGAGAGGCGAGTTTCCTTGTAATACTTTTGTTTGTGTTATGTACTTCTCGTTGTGGTAAATAAATGATAACATATTGGAGGAGCGCACAGGTCGAATTAGTTTCCGTAAAAATGCATAAATATTGCAATCGGAGATAATGTAAGCTCGTGTAAGTGAAGTATGAAGGTTTCCGTTCTGAATGCAGTTTCGAGTTCTTTTGTTTAGGCAGCGAAAAACAAGACTAGTCTTTACTCGTAGCTTACACAGTGACTTAAGAACTTTACTTATGTGTAACAGATGGTTGTGTTGCGTACTGACTTCATTATTCGTGTAGTGATGTGAATATATACAGTAATTTCGATAATGCAAGTCAGTTTCTGTGATTTGTATGTCGCTTCAGTTAGGTTAAGAAAGGTCGTGACGTCATCTTATCTGAAACGAAGTTACCTGGACGAATGACGCGATGCTATTTGTTTGTAAAGTACTTCGTTGTTTTTCTGTTTGGAGGTTGTGCTGTTCCTTTATTCTCGATTTGATGTTTGTTGTGATAATGGAGACCTTTTATTGTGAATGGAAGTGAAGTGTACGACTTGACCTTCCGCGGTCCTCAGTCATCAATACGGGACCTTTGCACCCTGTAATGGAGGCTCATCTTTTGATCGACACTGGTGGCTTCTGTGAGTAGATATATTCATATATTTTTCTTCTAAAAGTCAGGAGTTTGTCAACCACAGTGGAAACTGGTCGCTTGAATATTGTGACTAGATTTCCGTAATGCCAGCTTTTAGACAGACCTAAATACTTCTAATTAGGCGAGTCTATCTTTTAAAGTGCGTTAGTTCATTTTAGTAATATAAACTCTATGATTCATTTTGCTCAGTAGTCTTTTAAGATACACGATGATTCTTCAACACTCCTGCTGCGTATTCAGGAGGTCCCGGGTTGAAATATCGGTCCGGACACCGGCTATCCTGACTGAAGTTCTTCGCGGTATTTATTAGTGCCTCCAGACAAATGCCGGGATAACTTAAAATTAGGCCACGACCGCTTCCTTCCGAATCTTTTCCAATTAATTTTTGCTGTCATCCTCTCATTCGACGGTATATAGTCTGAGCTACCGAAAACGAATCGTTAAATAAACTGTAAATAAATAAATAAATAAATAGAACGATAATTCTTACGTTATTAGCATCAAAACGCATGGTAGTGTAGCAAAATTAACACTGACATTTAAGTTTTATTATGTTATATGACATTCAAAAAGAACGTTATTTTACGGCTATGTGTCAGCTGTTTTGGTACCTTCGAGTTAGATGGAAATATCATTATAAGTAGTGATTAGTGAGGGAAGTTTCGAAAACCTTCAGTTGAGGTAGACTGATGGGTGTGTGTGTAATACCCGTATGTAGAACCGACCGTTGTGAAAGAATTTGACTGTGATTTTTAAGTTTGTTTTAACATAATCATCGAATCTTCTAGGTCTTAATAGCTGCAGGACTTGCAACTCTCTTACAAAATATTATTTTCATTATCTGTGTTATTATTTAAACTCTAAAATATCCTTGAAATTACATTTATGAATTTAATAACAATTACTACTTTACCGCTTAAATAAAATATGGCTGCTCTAAGCTATCTGGAATACAAAGGCTTTAACTTTTGTCCGTTAACATGTAAATAACATCTTAAATACTGCCAATTATTACTAGTGTTAAAAATACAGTGGATTCAGGTTAATTGGGACACATCGGGATTACAACACTTTGACCCAATTAAGCTGCTGCCCCAATAATGAGAAGTTCCACGTAAAGAGTTCGAAAGGTTTATTCTTTAAGATTTGTCGCAAATAAACGGATGCCTCGATTAACTGATGGCCCGATTAACTGGAATGTACTGAATATGGTTTACAATGTGTTTCGATCATCCTCACGTAACGTGAACCCCGTCTGTAAATAATGAAAGTAACTTAATGTTATTTCAGAAAGTTTGATTCGATAATTCTTGATATGGTATCGCAACGCTATCAGATTTTACTTTTCTTCTTTACAAGGATCTTGTGTTACGCTCTTTTATGTCAGTTAGAAAGAATTGCTCCGGTGGAAAAATCGGATTACGACTGAGGCAGGAAGTTTTCTTACACACACACACATACACGCGCGCGCTTGCCTCAAGAGACGTCACCAGATGTCTTCTTAAATTAGATTGTCTTAAGGCGCAAACTTCTCGCGTCGATTAACAAGCCAGGCACCACCCAGGGATGTCCAGTAGAGTACAAGGATGAACAAATTCGCGTTAGAAATCTAGATTTTTTTCCAGACTAGATGACAGACAGCCATTAGTTTGTAGGATCTGAGGTTTTCACGGCTGTGAGTCTGAAGATGGTTGTATTCTGGGTTGTTGCGCTATCGGTAAACTTCTATAGTCGGCGCAGTAGTTTTTGGCCGGTGGAATTTTCAAGGGGAAGGCTAGGAGCGAGTCTCTTGTGCGATCGTATAATGCTGACTCCACGAGGAGCTTATCGGACTGAACGTGAAACAAAAGAAATACGCTGACCGTGCCACCACAGGTACACAGAGTAGGCCCGTCCGCCAGCTTCAACACCGGCCAAAACCTATTGCGCCGACTATATCAGGTTATAAGGTGCAACAACCCAGATGATAGACATCTTTAACCATTCATTTCAGGAAATAACGTTTTCTATCGACCTAAATAAAATAAGTTGAACGTCGATGGGTAACAGCCGATAAAGGGTGGTCCTTCACTTCGAGGGTTGTGTGTAGGAATGAAAACCTTAATTATAAATCCAGTTCCGTGGTTGGAAACTTTTAACAGAGCTTCAGTATATGTAGATTTTTTGAAAATAATTGGCTAAATACTGTGACCATTGCGGTATTAAACCACAGGTCCAATTACAAGACGCTGTTAATTTTAATCATCAGTCAGTACTCAAGACACAAACATCAATGTCGATACCATGAAGTTATGCACTTAACTTTTCATTAAATCTGTTTTCATTAATATAATCCGTTTACATATTACGTAGATAGAATTTGCACAGTAATTTATCAATTTTAGTGCAGTAAAGTCAGCAGAATTGGTTGGATTTTTAAAGTAGTCATCGGAATGATACGTAATGGAAGTTGGCAAATAAAAATTTCAATTGTTTACTTAGAACGTACAATTCACAGAAGTGTTTAAAATAACTTAAACGTGCTTAAATCATTTAGCTATGAAATGTTAAAACTCTGATTGACTTAATTTGTCAAGAAATCCCCTGCTCTTATGGCACCCAAAACATCAGTATCGTCTTAACTCTACTGAATCGTATTATGAGCCAGTTAAATCCAGTCCACACTCTGCTTTAATAAACTAAATTACGAGTATAATATCGTCCTACCCTTTACGCCAAAACATCCCAAATGGTCTCTTCCCTTCAGATTTTCTGACTTTTATATCTTTATTCTCCAGTGCGTGCTAAGTGTGCTGCCATCCCATCTTTCTCGATTATATAACATTGTACACAATAATAGGTAAGTTAATTATTCAAGGTGACTGCCTTTTTTCCAGTCTGACGATTAATATTTTCATATTTTATACAATTTTATAGGTTGAACAGTTGCCACGAAAGTAATGGAGCTAAAGTAGCCGTGAACAGCGTATGATTTAATTCGTAGCAGTCGATTAGATACAAGTTTTTTCTAACAGCGAGTTTCATTTCTGGTGCCGGCTCTGACAGAATTCATTAGTAGTGAC